TAAAGGACAGACATGGTATGGACCTAACAGAAGCAGAAGATATTAAGAAGAGGTGGCAAGAATACACAGAAGAACTGTACAAAAAAGATCTTCATGATCCAGATAATCACGATGGTGTGATCACTCACCTAAAGTCAGACATCCTGGAATATGGTATCAAGTGGGCCTTAGGAAGCAACACTATGAACAAAGCTAGCGGAGGTGATGGAATTGCAGTTGAGCTATTTCAAATCCTAAAAGATGATGATGTGAAAGTGCTGTCCTCTATATGCCAGCAAATTTGGAAAACTCAGCAGTGGCCACAGGACTGGAAAAGGTCCATTTTCATTCCAATCCCAAAGAAAGGCAATGCCATAGAATGCTCAAACTACCACACAATTGCACTCATCTCACACGCTAGTAAAGTAATGCTCAAAATTCTCCAAGCCAGGCTTCAGCAATATGTGAACCATGAACTTCCAGATGTTCAAGCTAGTTTTAGAATAGGCAGAGGAACCAGAGATCAAATTGCCAACATTTGCTGGATCATCAAAATAGCAAGAGCGTGCCAGTAAAGCATCTATTTCTGCTTTATTGACGATGCCAAAACCTTTGACTATATGGATCACAATGAACTGTGGAAAATTCTGAAAGAGATGGAATACCAGACCACTTCACCTGCCTCTTGAGAAACCTGTATGCAGGTCAGGAAGCAACAGTCAGACTGGACATGGAACAACAGATTGGTTCCAAATAGGAAATGGAGTATGTCAAGGCTATATATTGTCACCCTGCTTATTTAACTTATATGCATAGTACATCATGAGAAACGCTGGGCTGGATGAAGCACAAGCTGGAATCAAGACTGCCAGGAGAAATATCAATAACCTCAGATATGTAGATGACACTACCCTTATGGCAGAAAGTGAAGAAGAACTAAAGAGCCTCTTGATGAAAGTGAAAGAGGAGAGTGAAAAAGTTGGCTTAAAGCTCAACATTCAGAAAACTAAGATCATGGCATCTGGTCCCATCACTTCATGGCAAAAAGATGGGGAGACAGTGGCTGATTTTATTTTTTGGGGCTCCAAAATCACTGCAGATAGTGACTTCAGCCATGAAATTGAAAGATGCTTACTCCTTAGAAGGAAAGTTATGACCAACTTAGACAGCATATTAAAAAGCAGAGACATTACTTTGCCAACAACGGTCTGTCTAGTCAAGGCTATGGTTTTTCCAGTAGTCATGTACGGATATGAGATTTGGACTTAAAGAAAGCTGAGCACCGAAGAATTGATGCTTTTGAATTGTGGTGATGGAGAAGACTCTTGAGAGTCACTTGGACTGCAAGGAGCTCCAACCAGTCCATCCTAAAGGAGATCAGTCCTGAGTGTTCATTGGAAGGACTGATGTTGAAGCTGAAACTCTGATACTTTGGCCACCTGATGCGAAGAGCTGACTCATTGGAAAAGACCCTGATGCTGGGAAAGATTGAAGGTGGGTGGTGAAGGGAACAACAGAGGATGCGATGGTTGGATGGCATCACTGACTCAGTGGACATGAGTTTGGGTAACTCCAGGATTTGGTGATTGACAGGGAGGCCTGGTGTGCTGCAGTTCATGGGGTCACAAAGAGTCAGACACAACTGAGCAACTGAACTGAAGACTCTCTATCATCCAGTGCCCATGCTTACCTCCACTCCTGCCCCTACCTGGAATTGTAGGTTCCTATTTGAAAGGTTCTCTGAGGCCATGCAGGCCAATCTCCCATGCTGGGAGTGAGTTCCTTCCACAATATCCCTGACAGCTCAGTCTTTCTTTGATTATCCTTCAGGAATAAAGAACTCACTACTAAATGAGGAAGCCCTCATTGTCCTAAGGAAGCTTTTGGTTAAACTGAATGGAAACCTATCTCTCCTTTAAAATGACAGTTATCGATCAAAGGACAGTGGCTATGAAGTCACATCAGACTTGCATTTATGAGAAAAATTTATCAGAATAAACAAAACTACACTGGCTGGGCAAAGTGAGCAACTGTTGTTGTTTAGTCACTAAGTCATGTCAGACTTTTTGCAACCGCATGGACTATAGCCTTCCAGGCTCCTCTGTCCATGGGATTTCACAGACAGGAATACTGAGCCACCAGGGAAGCCCAAGTGAGCAACAGAGGTCTCTTTGCAAACCAGCTATTTTCATCAGAGACTCAGCAACAAAATTATACTTGTAACTAAGTATTCTTTTAAATCACTGTATACATTATATATTTTTATAATTACTATATAATGTATATTGTATCTGTACATTAGTATTATTATTCAGAGATATAAACCTAAACCACCTACCACACTTTATGGGATATTTAGGAATTTTCCCTTTATTGACTATAGAATCTAATTCCTCCACTAATGTAACACCACTGTATTGGGTGCCCAGAGGATCTTCTGCTCCTGGTTAAACATATCTAGTTTCAAGGCTTCACTCAACCCAGGGGATCTGCAGATAGACCTCTTTAATTCAATCCAATGATTACTATGAGTAGATTTCCTATTCTGCAGTAGATTACTTTTTGTTATGGATACAAAAGGCAAGTAAGATACAATCTAAACCCTTAAGAAGTCACAGCCTACTTGAAAGAAAAGAAGACATATGGAGTAGCATGTAATCAAATATTCAGTCTCTGGCACATCCTGGGCTTCAGCACTGAGCACCACTTGCAGTATGACCAACTGAGTTAACCAGTGACGGTTTCTCCCCCTGCTCTTTGGGAATGAAGCAACCCCAGCCAAGGCCTCTCGGCCCCTGACTGACAGGCAAGATGCTTCTCTGGACTAGAACTGACTTCACTTGGGGGAACAGAAGGTGCTTGAGGGAGGTGGGGCTGCAGTTCCCAACGCTCTCTGAAAGCAGAGCCACGAGCTGGGCAGCCATCATGCTTCTCGTATGAATGGTGAGCCAGCAGCCCAGATCCTCAGGCTCTGCCAGCCCTGGAGTTTCATATGAAGCTGACTTAGAGGTCCTTGCCTCACTGCTATTGCCCCATGACATTCTTAGTTTCCACAGGCACCACCCAGTTCAGCAAATTCCTCTAGCAGGCCCCCCTCAAAGAGTCTGCCCAGCATCAGCACCTCTCTGAGTACTCTTCACTCTGGTGGCCATCTCAAGTGCCACGCTCCTGGTAGCCAGCACTGCATAAACCCCAGAGTTAATTATACTTAGTGAGCTAGCAGCCAGAGGGGGACATATGGTGACTTCATGTGGCTGCAATATATACTTGTCCCTCCCTCTGACCCCACTTCCTCTCCTCTATTTCTCCCAATTCCCTACCCGGAACCTAAACTCTGAGGCAGCTCCCTGCTCCCTACCAGCTCCTCCTCTCCAGCACATACACACACCACACATAACTCCATACCACTTAGAAACCACACCTTGTTTCTCTATCAACTCATCCAAGGGCATATAGCCCTAGAGTACAGTATCCCTGGCACAGAAAGACTTCAGTTGTCTCCCCCATATCCTAAAGTCCCATTGACCTCCACCTCCCTGGCCCTGATGAGTTTTCACCATGCTTCACTGCCCCCAAAGCTGACTACTCTCCCTCTCCCCTGGCTTTCACCCTGCTGTCCTCAGTGGCTCTGAAAGGACCCACAAGCAATCCCTGACAACTATTGCCAGCTCTAAGATTTCAGCAATCAACCTAGAGAGGAGACCCAGCATCCTGGCTGCCTGCCCTTCCCTGCCTATCCAATCTCTCCTTATCATCCAGCTGCAAGACCTTCCTTATACATGCCACAGTTCTGGCATCATGACAAGCTCAGCAGCACATGCCCTGATACCACTGGATAAGATTTCCTTTTCACATCCCCACCCCCTTCTCACCCCCATTCTTCTATCTTTCAGAGATGGTGTGTCTCATTGTGGAGGGTGTCTAGTGCATTCCTGGACTTCAATAACCATTGTGCCCTTCATTGTCTCGTTATCTCGCGATACCTCTTAATCAAGGCAGCCTCCTCACATCTCAGTGCAAAGTCCTAGAAAACAGCCAAAGGAAATCATTCAAACACTTCCTTTTTAAGATCGCTTTCCTTGGGACTGCCTGGCTAATTATTAGAGGCAGGTGGCAGAGGGTGGATAGGTTGGAATCCAGGTAAGACAGTTATTTAAAAGGGTATGGACCCAGTTCTTTTCATAATCCAATAGCAGTGTAAGAAAACTGGTGCTGGTGGTGGGGGAGGAGGAATGGAGCTGTTAACAGAGAGTCTGCTGTGTGTACCTTTCAGGTGCTCCATGGCCCTAAATTGCCTTCAGAAGACTTAGCACCTAGCATGGTGTCTGGCATTACAGTAGATGCCCAGTTATTATTTGTTGGATGTTGAACAAAGTAGTAGGTACCAGTTCCAACTGGGAAGATTGAGGGAAGAACCCAAAATGTGGCTACTGGAGGCACCCCTTAAGACCCCACCATGAGAGGATCTCCATGCTAAGGACAGCCTCCTCCTCAACCACTTGCTCACCAGAGGACAGCAGTCTCAATACCCCCACCCCTCTACCAGCATACCTTTCCTTAAAGCTGACATTGGCACCCCCTTCTCAAAACAAAACAAAGAACCCAGCCACATCACGTTTCCAAGTCATTTCAGTCAGACCTCTCTTTTCCCACTCACAACCAAACTGTACTGGAAAATATCTCAACTGCGTAGTGGAAAGTCAATTCCCCGCTCAGGAATCTGTACCCAGCCTATTTTATGGTTGCTCCCACCCTGAACCCCACCTTCAGAAGACCTCCGATTGGCTGCTCGTTCCACTCCACCGCCCCTGGCACTGCAGAAATGTGGGCATCTCTGGCACAACCTGAGACTGGCAGTTCGAGGAACGGAGAGTGAGCAATAGTAAGAAGGGCTGATATGAGCAATGTGGGAGGGGATAAGAACCCGTGGAAGAACGAAGACCTCAGTACCCCTTGTGCCAAAGCAGCGGAGCTGGCCCCGGCGCTTCTCTGACTCTTCTGGATGGGAAACCGGGGTGCAGTCAACCCAGCTCCCCCTGGGAGACTTGCCAACTCAGACCCCCCGCCCCGAGCTGATGGAGCTGAGGGCGAACTCCAAGCCCTCCCCGCAAATCGGGCATCGTCCCCTCATTCTCATCCCCAAGGGCACAGGGCACTGCGAAGGCTGGTGAGGGGCAGCAGGAAAAGTATCTACCGGAGAGACACGTTTGAGTAAAAAGGTGCTGTTTCCCAAGAACCGCTAGATTGAGACCTCCTTTCCAAACTGTGAGGGGAGCTGGAGGTGAGAAAAACAGACATCCCTCCCGCACCCCGGGCTCGGGAGGCTCACCTGCCTGCCCTCCCCGAAGGCCGGGCAGCTTGGCTCTGCGTAGGAAGCCGCCCCGGCCTCGAGGCGCCGGACTCGTCCTCGCGAGCGGAGCAGGGGCGGAGGCAGCCGCAGCCTTCCCGAGCCGAAGCGCCCCGCCTCAAGCCCCGCCCTTCCCTCCCGCGGACGGCCCCCGGCCCCACCTCAAGGGCGGGGCTGACCGGGGCCTCGAGGCCACGCCCCCTCCCCGCCTCTCCCTCTTTCGTGACGTGGAGCCGCTTGGGACTGCGCGCCATCTTGGGTCGGCCGGAAGAGTGTCTCATGAGGTGGCGGGGAGCCAGGTTTTAACCCAACGCCAGTCAAGTTTTAGGGCCCAACGGAGCCCTGCCTTCATCCCAGTGAGGTGCAGCACGTATTCCTTGGAATCCACCTTTGGCTCTAACCACCTCCTCCCTAAATTGGTCTCAGTACTGGCCTTGTACTTGTTTGCCAATGATTTGTCGCCCTTCACACTCTGTTGCCCATTTATTACTCGTCCTTTGGTTGTGCCCATTTTTTAAGTTGGAGAAACTTGAAAGCCAGATAAATTTTCATAGTGAACGCTTAAGTGAATTGTGTCGCTTGTGTGAATTCAGGTATTTGGCTGTGCTAACAGTTACTATAAAATCAAATGTTTGCCTATAGTATCTACAGAGTAGGAAGATAGTTTTAAATGCCAAAATTCCTGACAAATATTGGTTAAATCTGACCATTTTCTTTTAATTGCACCGTACCCTGTACCCTGTGACAATTAATGCATCTTTCCCATATGGTTTGTGAAGTTTCATCACAGTGCCTACTCAGTCCTTTACAGTGGCCAGTAAGCACTGCTAGAAATGTAAGGATTTTTATACACATGCAATGTGCACAGACTTACAAACACACAAGTTCTGTATCAGCAACAAATGCTGTAGTTGAGATCAATGGCATGTATAACCAATTTTTTCTTTCCTCCAATATATTCACCATTTGGCTTCATTAATTCTATGTCATTGGTAGAAGGCAGGAAAATCTGAGTAATTCTGACTTACTTGAAGGTTAAGAAATGAACCTAAATATTTCGTTTGTCTGACCCTCCAAGCAAATTCAAGGTACGTATTTAAAGAAGTGGAAAGTACATAGCAGTTTCTATAAAAGCTGTCCAGAAAGTGCCAACTCTTCTCCAGATGGTTTCCATTCCCATCAAAAGGAAATCCCTGAGACACTTGATATCCTTTCACTAAAACCCAACTCAGTCAATGCAGAGGGAAGGCTAAAGCTTGTAACCTTTGATAACATACTTTAAAGTGTTAATGTTTTACTAATAGAACAGCTGAGGCAATATTTAATGTTGAATCTATCATACCATGGAGTTTGATACAAAAACTAGGAAGTTCAGTCAGGAGCCAATTTTACTTCACTCCCCTTTTAAAAGTAACTCCTAAATAGGGGATACAAAATTCACTAGACATCTCCCTTCTGCTCCATGGCATCTTATAAGGACACTAGGAACTGTGTGCTTCTCTCCTTCTGCCTCAGAGGCAATTTTTGATTGTGGAGATATCTAAGGTGCTTATTGTCCTTGGGTTTTTGTTTTTATAATTTAAATGCCCAAATTCTGTTTTTCACTGACCTAGCTCACTTTCTGCATGAACAGCTTTAGTACCCACCTCAGTGAGGGGTAAGGTTAGCTATTAGCAGCAGTACTAAGCAGATCTTAGTACTTAAAGCAGAGATTTAAAGAATACTTTTAAATAGCAGGGGGTAGGGAGAATGGTAAGGAAAAAACAACACTCATTTAGCAGTCAAGCTCACGACTGTACTGCCCCCATGGGATTTTCATGTTTAAGGAATATGGTCTTAATGCCCACCTTGTGGCAATATCTAGCTAATATCCATCCCCCCTAGCTAATTTGGGTAGGGGGTGGGGCAGGAGACAAGCAGCAAAGTTATCTTGTTAGCAAAAAACAAAACAAAAACATGATCTTCTTCTCAGAGTACACAGGCTATAGCAAGTCCTCTCACCAAGAGGACATTCGTTTTTCTGCAGGGATGGAAAGACCAGGCTCTAATAGGTAGCACAGGGCAGAGCAGAGCAAAGGAGGCACTAAATTGCTACAGTGCTGAAGTCTGGTTCCAATATGGGAATGCATTTTTTAAAGGACCTTCAGCATAACAAATGACTTTTTAACAATTTAATCACTATTCTTCCTGCAGTAACTTTCATGGTTTTACATTTTACTTAGAAACATATATTTAAAAGATTCTTTCATCGACCTTATATACTATTTAGGCTGATTAGGGATAAGGTTTACCACAATCAACTTTTTATTCATCTTTTTATTTTTTCCATCTATGTTCACTTGCCTGCTTCCCTTTGCTGACATCTACCATGAGAATAATGAGAATGACCATTTTAATTGTGGCAATAGCAAAGGGTCAGAATCCTGGCTCTGCCATTTATTGGGTATTATGGCTTTTGGGTGGGTTTCCCTGGTAGCTCAGGTGGTAAAGAATCTGCCTGCAAGGCAGGAGACCTGGGTTTGATCCCTGGGTTGGGAAGATCACCTGGAGGAGGGCATGGCAACCCTCTCCAGTATTCTTGCCTGGAAAATCCCCATGGATAGAGGAGCCTGGAGGGCTACAGTCCATGGGTGTTGCAAAGAGTCAGACACAACTGAGCAACTGAGCACAGCACAGGACAGCTCTGGGTAAGTCACTGATTCAGTTTTTTCAGCCAGAGAATGGGAACAGTATCACCCACCTTGCGGGACTGTGAGAACTAGAGACATTATGAAAAGTTTCTAATATAGCACAAAATCATTATTATCACCACTATCAGCTTCATGCAAAAAAAAAAAAAAACTAAAAAACTAAAATTCAAAACTGGCAAAATATTTATGCAACAATTATTTTTAAAGAAAGATACACAAATCAATCTCATTAAGATTCTGAAAACCCTGTCACCTGCTTTATTTCTAGATAAGGGTAAAGGGAAACAAGGAAACATTCACTTGAATTTGAGGGGCAGCTAAACTGAAAGCAATAGTAGCAACAATTTTACACCTCTAAGGTTACTCTGATCCATAAAGGAATGCTAAAATTTCCTTGTTTGGAGATTTAAGAGTTTAATTTTCCCCTAAAGCAAGATCATCCACTTTGGCTGTGGTAAAAGAATAAAGAACAAACTCAGTAGCACCAAATGGGGTTTAACACAGAAAATAGGGCCGGGTTTCTCCTTTCAAATGCAAAATTTTACATTAAAATACATTTATAAATCATAGTTGTTTTTCCTCCTGATTGAATCCTCCTTCTACCAGGAACCCCAGAAACCTAAAGAGCATGTGCATTACTGACTAGATATACAATCCAGCTGCCCCTTCCAAACTGGAATCTGATTACAAATGGACTGGCCTAGCTCAGGGCTGCCTTCAGTGACAGGAAGCAATATCTATGCTCTCAGGGAAAACGGATACTGAGGATGCCACCAGTCAAAAAGTCGAATGCTGTGTACTGGGTCCAGGATGACTTGCACACCCTGTTCACTGCGCAGTTTCTGACCACCATGGACAGGATAATCTTGGAACACCAGTCTCACTCGATGATGCCGCATGTCCGTGCTCACGCTGATAGTAAACTAGGAAGGAAAAGTAAATTCAGTACCCAAATTTAACAACTTTGTTTTCCTATGACACACTCTGATATGAAACAGTCTAGACAATTGACATGGACTAGGCCAAAAAATAATCTCTAAGTTACACTACCAGCACCTTTGCAAAAATATTAAAAATTAACAGTGGTTTTTATAAGTTTTTCTTAGCTTCATATATTTAAATTGTGCTAAAGAAAGCCTCTCAAATGGCTGCACATATTAAGATATGTGCACACAGAGTACCATCAGTGACAATTTTTAAAAACTGGATTGGAGCTCTAAGAGATGATTTGAAGAGATTCTGATGAGCTACATCTGATGACTTTTTTTTGGGAAAATAAATCACAAAATCTCTAAATGTGTTTATATATCAACATATATAGATGGGTAGAGAATTATATGAATAGGAAGAATATGAAGTATGAGTATATAAATAAGTCATTAATGTGGTTTAATGAGATGCCTACCATAAAAACAGATATATGACATACTTTGAATTATACAAACATGTATATATTAACAGAAACACTAAAGAACAATTCCCCAGAAGTTAACTGCAGTTATAGGATACAAGTCTAAGTTACCTTTACTGTCTCAACATGTTTATGTATTATTTAATTCTTCACATGAAGTATGCATTACTTATTTTACCATTAAAAAAATAATAAAGCTATTTTCAATGTAGAGGGGGGAACATATCTCTGAACATAATACAGAAAAGATAAATTACATGAACTCTCCAGTTGCCAATCCAGTTAAAAATGTTAAAAATATGGAAAATATACCAGAGGCATATTTGTTGTTTACTAATCTAATTCTTAGCTAAACCTTGAATAGTCAAGAGAATCACACAAAGGACAGAGCTGGTAACCCTACATTTTAATATTCCATTTATTTACCACATGCATGCTTCAGATCCTGACATAGTGTCCATGCATAAGCTTTATCATTAACCTTAATGGGATAATGTTTCTCAAACATTAACGAGCACAACACAGGAGATACAAAACCATTCTATTCACTATAGAGAAGGAAACAGAGGTAAAATATTCTCAGACATAATTAACTTCTCCACAAATAAGTCTATTGCTAATATAAAAGTCAGTTTTCAGATTTTGTTTAAAATTATTTAAAAAATAATTTTTTTCAAAGATTTCTTTCTCAGTGGTTAAATATACAAATCTTTCAAATTCTAGGTACAGTGAGAGTCTACGAAAGAACTGAGGATGACATCCTGTCTCCACTTACCAGGGTAAATATCATTCCCATAACAATTGGAATGAAGATGAAATTGAGGGTGGTGACCTGCAGTAGGCAGCAGTCCTGGTCCGGGTTGGTATGAACATCTTCGTACTGAATGGGAGGCTGCAATCCTCCCATACACTTGCTCTTTAATCTTGGGGACTGAGGAGAATTAAGAATTACTCTCATGGGTTAGAGGAATGTTATGGCTCTAAGATTCCATCAATGAAAATGCTTAACTAAAGCTGCTGAGATCCATTTTTCTGTATCTCTTCTCTCTTTAATATACATATCAGCTTCTACACAGATCAAGGAAAGCCCTTTGAAAGATGAGGAAACACATGCAAGGACATGCAGAACAGGTCCTCTCAGTATCCAAGATCTCAGGTACAGTCCAAGCAAAAAGGAGAAAGAAAGGTACAATAGTATATGCTCTTCTTGCGAACAGACTCTCAGCAGTCTCTCTCCCCAGGGCTTCCTCAAATTGCCTCAGATATAAAACCATATGAATTATTATTGTTTACAAATACATTTGCTTTGAAAAAGAAATTCTTAGGCAAATAACCTCAGTACATTGTTATAACAAGTTCTTTCCTTTCCTCTACTTTTAAGTCTTCAAGTATACAGAAAAATTAATAAAACCATGCAATAAACTCCTGTATACCCTTTACCATTGGCTATTCTGCCATGTTTGTTTTCTTTCCTCTTACATCTCTCATTTTATAAATACATATATTGTCACATGTTAAAAAAAAAAATCACAGCTCTGGGGCGGGGGAGGCAAAGTCATTTGAAAGTAACATTGGCACCTAAAAAAATTAACAATAATTTCATATCATCTAGTATCCACAGAATCTTCAAATTTCTTTAATTGTACCAAAAATGTCTTTTATACATAAAGAGGTATCTCTGTTCATTAATCCAGGATCTACTCAAGGTTTACTCTATGCATTAAGCTATTAAATCTTTGTACCTCTTTCATATAAAATAGTTCCTTCTTTCTTTTCATGACATAAGTTTTAATGTATAGTATCTGATTTTAAAAAGGCATTTTTATGTTTAGCAAAATTAGAGCAAGTTATTACCTGAAAAGCAAAGAGATGATAAAAACACATACCTGTTTTTTGAACTTGAAGTTGAATTCCCACATTGGTTCCTGTCTGTTCCCAACAATCTTTCTGCACCAGAAAAGTAAGCACTGTAAGAAAATAAAAATAACTTTTCTGTTTGCTAGCTCTAAAGCCAGCCATGGCTCTAATGCTGAGATTTTACTTTGGCACAGATAGAAAACCCGTATTCTGCCCCCTCACCGCCCCAATGTGACACTGGTGCAACTTGAGAAGAGACAACCCCAAGGCTGTTCAACAAAGAGAAGAGGTAAAAGTCAACCTCAGATGCTATTAAGGTCAACCCCTATTGTTCTCATCTTTAAAGACAGAAACATGGTCTCTAGAGACTGGGGCATTCAGCAGGCCACTTCTCTATATTAAAATATAAGGGCAGTCAGTAGCCACCAGATAAGATGATAATAAAGCCATAAAGCAGGCAGAGATAGCCAACCCTGAATGTAATAGGAGCAAACCACTCAGGACCTCTGGGAGCAGACAGCCGGTGTGGAAACTACAAAGCTGAGCTGAATTCAATCTAGAGTAAGTCCCTCAAGAAAAGTCAGGCTACAGCTAGGGTTAACACAAGAAGTTAAGTACCTCCCAGGGGATAAGGGGTGGGTCGTCCGCCGTGCCAGCTGTCCTGCCCTTCAGACATGCCCTGTACGTCCTGCTGTTCCATCAAAAATAATGGGCTTGGCTGGGCTTGGCTTTAAGGGGCAAACACTTCTGCTGCCAACACAACGGCTCCAGTGTCCCACACAAGCTATGCTACTGAAAAGAGAGAGAGGGAGAATCAAATACGAAAAGGTGGAGTCCAGCAACATGTGACAACTTCCTTCAGGCATGCTGGCAACTTCCTGAATGCCATGCGATTATGGCTATACTAGCAAGGCAATGCATGGGACATCAGCCATTGCAGGTCCCATGTCCTCCAGATCTCGTAACAATGGACACAAAAGCAGCAGACAGGTGGCCTAGGCTTCCTGTCTCGATTAAGATTTTTGTTATCACCACTGTTAGTAGTCCACTTAAAAAATTAATATACAATTATAAAAGTATGAAGACAGGCATTTTAGATTTAGGAGTAGCACTTGCATTGTGCACTGGAGCCGCAAGGATGTCCAGCATGAAGTCTGCCCAGTGCTGCTCTGCTCCCAGCAACTGATCAACACCCGGCCACGGTCAGCTTTGGGATGATCCCACCTCACCACAGGTAACCTGTGATGATCAAAGGTCTTTGGGGGGAGGAAAACTATAAATGTGAAAAGATACTCTGTCTACTCATATTGTAAGAAGGAATAAAATTCTACCCACTTGGCATTCTAATCTTGCCCTAAATCCATCAACTAGTGTGACATTAAATTGAGCTCAGCCAATGACCCTGACCATCTCAGTTTGCAACCCTGGGAAGAACCATGATGATCTTGAAATCAACAGTACTCTTTTAATCAATATGTATCAGGTAGCATGTTATCACACTAGAACTGAACTAGGGAAAAAGAATCATTAACATCCAAAGCTTAAAAAACAAAATAGAATTACAAAGTGCTAAAGAACATCAGACTTTGGGTAGGAATAGAGTAAAAAAAAAAAAAAAAAATTCACAAACTCAAAAGATACAAAATTTGGACAATAGTATGAACTGAATGAGAAAAAAGTTGGAGACATCGACTTGCCTAAATAATCATATATGCTATAATAGTCTAGCTTGGCAAAGGTGTGTTCACTAGATACCTCATAGTGGAACAAAGGACAAAATGGACCACAGGCTTACAGACCCACTTACAGATCAGAAAAATACAATGAAACTTGAATACAATGTATGAATGAATATAAACTACTGGGGAAATCCAAAGATATAAAAAATGGCCTAGAACACAGGAAGAATTTTAGAGCACTAAAGTCTATGAGTGGAATACTTCATAGTCTCTGAAACAACCCATCCTAGAGCCTGGCAACAGTAGGCACTTTGCAAATGCTGAGGAAGTCTATACCAGAATCTTTTAAGGTCAATGAGAAAGTGACATTCCAGATGTCAAGGTCACATCAGAAAAAGAAAATTAGTAAGTTGTTTTATATTTTTGTATTATGATTTAATGGAGGAGGAAATGGCTACCCACTCCAGTATTCTAGGCTGGAGAATCCCCATGGACAGAGGAGCCTGGGAGGCTATAGTCTGTGGGGTTGCAGAGAGTCGGACACAACTGAAGTGACTTAGCACATCATAATTTAAAGCACCTTTTGAGAATTATGGTTTACATCTACCATTTGAACTGTCTTCTTCCTCGCTCAAACCATCAAACCATTTAAAGTGGTTCAATGTATAAGGCATGAAAATAAATGAAAATAAAGAGAATAAGGAATATGCTAAAAGCACAAGAAAGCTTTAAGGTAAAGATAACATAAGCCAGCCCAGCACAGCAGGAATGTCCTGGAGAAACGATACCCCCAAGCGTGGAAAGTTTATATTAGTCCCTGAGCAGCCTGGTATCTACAGCCCCAGACCACCCCATTAAGGCAGCTAGAAACAAGCCATGATAACAGGCCCATTATACAAGAGCCCATTTGTTAAACCCTACCACTAATACCCACTTACTTTGGAATTCTTTAATGTGCTAGGAGTGCTTTCTGGAATGGCTGGATTCTTGGAGATTCGAGCAGCAAATGGCTCATACATATGGTACAGAGATCGGATCACACATGCCCGAAGACAGTGCAGCTTCTCCATTGACTCTGGTCGCAGGCGCAAAGGCAGAGAGGCATCCAGTGTGTAGTGTCTGAAACATGACACATTACTCCTACCAGTAAGCAACCTGTCTCTTCTGTTCTAGGCCAGTCTCCTAGGACTCCTAGGCTCTGTACAAATTTTACATTACTATTCCACTGGCCAGTAGTTAATTTGTCCCTAGTGCTCTCATGCAGTCTCTGTTTCTTACACACACACACACGTACAAATCACCATCTCCTTCACTTCTCAGCTACTTTTCTCTGTTATACCTTATAATACTGCACTTCTCTATTCATTTAAAAATTTTAAATCCTCGCTATTTCACTTTAAAAAAGGGCAAGTCTCTGACTTGATAATAGTACAATATACTTCAGTTACTCAAAAAGAACTTGCACTGAAGAAGATCTACCAGGTTCTCTTGTCACATGTCTCAGAAAGTTCTCCACTCCCTGATAACCTCAACAACTCCTTTCACCATATTCTTACCAACAGTTTATAATCTTCACTTCGCTTCTAACCCAGGCTCTCTTATTAATCACATCATTCACTCTCTCCTCACCACTGCAACTATACAGAGCCACATAAATGCAAAGACTATGCATTCAAGATGACTAGCAAATCTAAGAAACAACCAATCCAGTTGGAAAGATAAACAGATGGGCATCTATAGTTTCTGAGAATTCTAGCTAAGATAAACCTCTGAAGCAAAGTCAAAAATAGTTATTTTTGAGACCTTACTTTTGCTGAAAGCAATAGGTTGGTGCAAAAGTAATTGGGGTTTTACATTGTTGAACTTTGCCACTTGATATTGGAATATATTCTTAAATAAATGTGGTTATATTATACATCATTTTAATGTGCATTTCTCACTTTTTTTTTTTTTTGCTAATGACATTACTTGCTGTCTATTTCGTAATTATTTTAGACTATGGAAAAATGATGTTAGACAAGAAGCAAATTGGAGTGGTTTTTTATTTGAGTTCAAAATGAGTCGTAAAGCGGCAGACAACTCACAACATCAACAATGCATTTGGCCCAGAATAGCCACCAAACACAGTGCAGTGGTGGTTCAAGATGTTTTGCAAAGGAGAGGAGAGCCTTGAAGATGAGGAGTGTAGGGGCCAACCAGTGGAAGTTGACAACAACCAGTTGAGAACCATCATCAAAGGTGAGCCTCTTACAGCTATAGGAGAAGTTGCTGAAGAACTCAGCATTGACCATTCTATGGTCATTTGGCATCTGAAGCAAATTGGAAAGGTGAAAAAGCTCAATAACTAGGTGCCTCATGAGCTGACCAAAAATTAAAAAAATTGTCATTCTGAACTGTCATCTCCTAGGGCTTCCCTGGTGGTTCAGAGGGTAAAGCGTCTGCCTACAATGTGGGAAACCTGGGTTTGATCCCTGGGTCGGGAAGATCCCCTGGAGAAGGAAATGGCAACCCACTCCAGTACTCTTGCCTGGAAAATCCCATGGACAGAGAAGCCTGGTAGGCTATAGTCCATGGGGTCGCAAAGAGCCGGACACAACTGAGTGACTTCACTTTACTATTCTACTCAACAACAATGAACCATTTCTCAATCGGATTGTGATATGCGATGAAAAGTGGATTTTAGACAACAACCAGCAATGACCAGATCAGTGGTTGGACTGAGAAGCTCCAGAGCACTTCCCAAAGTCAAACTTGTATCAAAAGAGGTCATGGTCACTGTTTGGTATTCTGCTGCCCATGTGACCCACTACAGCTTTCTGAATCCCAGCAAAACCATTACACCTGAGAAGTATGCTCAGTAAATTGATGAAATGCACCGAAAACTGCAATGCCTGCAGCCAGCATTGGTGAATAGATTGGGCCCAAGAATTGTTCTCTACAACAATGCCTGACTGCACATTGCACAATTGACACTTCAAAAGTTGAACAAGGAAAAAAAAAAAGTCGAATGAATTGGGCTATGAAGTTCTGCCTTATCTGCCATATTAACCTGACTTCTTGCCAATTGACTACCACTTCTTCAAGCATCTCAACAACTTTTTGCAGGCAAAACGCTTCCACAACCAGCAGGAGGCAGAAATGCTTTCCAAGAGTTCACTGAATCCAGAGGCGTAGACCTTCATGCTACAGGAATGTCTTATTTCTCATTGGCAAAAATGTGTTGAATGTAATGGTTTCTATTTTGATTAACATAGATGTGTTTGAGCCTAGTTACAATGATTTAAAATTCACGGTCTGAAACAGCAACTACTTTTGTACCAACCTAATAAGATTCTGCTTGGGGGTAAGCAGGTAACCATAGGGAAGACAGTTACCTAAATGAATTAATATCAATTTTAAAGAGGAGTTCAAGGAAGTCAAAGCTAGGTTCAAGGCTGAATTAGAGAAAGTGAAAAGAGGTCACCATCCAGGGAGTAGCACCAAATCAAAAACAACAATGAAATCAGCCACACAGATAACACAGTGAGCTCTCTGTGGTCGCACCTTCGGTACAACCTCGTCCAAAAGGCAGCAGTGCAAGTGACAGTCCAGGCATTCTTACAAATCAGGGAAAAATTCACAATGTCCTCAGGACGGATATAGGAGGCCAGCAATAGCCAAATATCCATGGGATACTCTTCTCCTCCAGTCCCGTCCAGGTCTTCTGAAATAGAGAAAAGAACTATAACCTCTGACCTTCTATTATATGCACATATAAAGATCCCTAACCATTTCAATTCTTCCAGGGCTTTCATAGTTAATAGTTTAAATAGGTCCAAGGAAGCCTCTCAAACTCACATTTCCTGATTATTTTATCTGCTGAAATTTTGTGTTTCCTGTTGCCCAAGTGAATAGGCTGTGTTCTTAAGGCCTTTATTTAACCAGAATTTACACACTATATTGAAGTTTTCAAAGTACCTTAGCGTACATTATGCCATTCAACTCTAATAATATGGAAATAAGGAAAATATTTCTGTGCCCATTTTACTATATTATTGTGGCCCATATTACTTTGTGCATGTAGTCAAGGTAAACAAAGCTCAGTTTTCTCCAAATTCCAACTTCACACTATAAATTCTACCCTTGATTTCCCTTGCAATCCCCATCCATCATTTTCTTCAGTTCAGTCATTTAAAAACCAAAACTGACTTTTATATAGTATAAGGAACCCTCAAAGTACAAAATAAAAAACTAAGTAAATTACAATGTATTTTCATTACTCAATAATTGCTTGTACATGTGTCTTTTTTTCTTCTGGTTTCTTGTTTCACTATCAGCTTGGTCTACAGTTCCGGCCACAAGCATCCAGTAATCAAAGATACCTGGTGAGGACATATCCTCACTTCTTCCTCCTTCAGACCTTATTAGCATTAATTCTCTTGACCCTGAGGTCCACTATACATGTCAGATTCAAGTAAAAATTCACACTCCATAGAAACACCAGAATCTGGTCTAACTCTAAACTTTAATTGAGACTTAGTTATATAGTTATCCAAAACCAAGGTTTCTTTGTTTCCTGGGCAAAGCCCATACAACCACCTCCCTGAAGCTACACCTGCTCTTTTAGTCGCTTCCTGCAGCTCTGTAAGTCAGTTAGGTTCTTGCATTAGGTTCTTCATGATGGAGACCAATGCTTCTAAAACATTGTTTCTTGTGGTTCCTATGCTTCTTGAAATCTCCAGTAACCATTTAAGGCTCAGCCTACAGCCCTTGGGGCCCTCTTCTCCCACATTAAATCTCTCTCTCAGAGAAGGCAAACAACTTTCAGTAATTCCTCCACTGAGAACCATGATGACTTTTACAAAGCAGAGTACTGTTAAATTTTTTCTATCTTTAGGGACAAAACTCAGTGATTATAAAAACTGACAATATTCTTATTTTGCCAATATTTTAAACATTATTATTAAGAAATTTCAAAACATAAATGGAATCAGTAAAGGAAAACTTCATGTAGGTAAGTTATGTAGGACATAAAAAATTTGGTAGGCATAGGTTAAGAGGAAGTATTCCAAGTGAAATAAACAGCTAACATGAAGCCTGAATATTCAGAAAAACAAAACACATGTGAGGGCAATAAAGAGATAAGTTGAACAAGATTTTGATGATATTAATAAACTGCTGTTAACTTTTTTAGATGTGATAGTTTTTTAAAGAGCATTTATATTTTGTAGATAATTACAAAAATATTTACAGATATAATAATGGGATGTCTGGAAACTTTCAAACTAATTGTGCACGTGTGTGTGTTGTGACTAGGGGTGAGGGGGTAGTGGCTGAAACAAAAACAGCCATGAGTTGATAATTGTTGAAGTTATGTGATAGCCACATGGGATTCATTATACTACTGACTCTTCTTTTGCATATGTTCCTGTTTTAAAAGAAAAAAGGGGGAAAAAAAGACTGGTTCGATGAGAATGAAGGACCTTAATGAGGGTAAAGTGAAGCAAGGAATTGTAAAAGATGAATTATAGCTAAGAGTTTGTAAACCACAAGTCATACATCTGATAACTGGGCTCCTGAATACAAAACAATTATTACAACTCAGTAATAAAAATATAACCTAATTTAAAAATGAGTGAAAGATTTGAACAGATAATTTCTCTACAAATGATATACAAAAGGCCAGTAAGCACATAAAATATTCAATATTAGTATGCAAATGAAAACTGTGAGATACCACTTCACATTCACTAGAATGGCTATAGTTTAAAAGTTAAGACAAATAACAAGTGTTGGCTAGGATGTGGAAAAACTGTAACTCTCATTCACTGCTTGTGAACATAAAATGGGAACTTCATAAAGAAAGCTTGGCAATTCCTCAAAAAGTTAAACAAAGTCACCATGTGATCTAGCAATTTCACTCCTACCCAACAGAAATGAAAATATATGTTAAGACAAAAACTTGTCCATGAGTGTTCCTAGTAACATTATTCATAATAGTCAAATAAAAAGCAATAAAAAGGAATTAAACACTGATGTATGCTACAATACGGATGAACCTTGAAAACACTACGCTAAGTCAAAGCAATCAGATGCAAAAGACCACATATTATATGATTTCATTTATATGAAATGTCCAGAATAGGCAAATCTATAAAGACATAAAGTAGTTTAGTGGTTGCCTGGGGGGAAGGGATGGGTGGGAAAGAGCGCTAGGAGGGAATTAGGAATGATACTAACAGGTTTGGGTTGACAGAAATATTCTAACTTAGATCATGTTGATGGCTACAGAACTCTGTGAACATATTAAAACCACACACTGCACACTTTAAAGGGATGCATTTTATCTCAACAAAGATGTTTTAAAAATCTGTAAGCTCTTCTGTGGAACGTGCTCAAAACCAAAGAAGAAAATCAAGAGAAATATCTAACATTGATACAATGGTGACAATAGGCAGGGATTTCAAGCAAGAAACAAAGAAGAATGTCTATTAGCATCCTTGGTTCTAGAAGAGTGGTATAAATGACAATAACTGGCGTAATTGCAAAGCGATGTCAGTTCATTTATTATTATTTCAATTGTTGTTCAGTTGCTCAGTCGTATCCAACTCTTTGCAACCCCATGGACTGCAGCATGCCAGGCTTCCCTATCCTTCACCATTTCCTGGAGCTTGCGCAAACTCATGTCCATTGAGTTGGTGATGCCATCCAACCATCTCATCCTCTGTTGTCCCCTTATCCTCCTGCCTTCAATCTTTCCCAGCATCAGGGTCTTTTCCAAGGAGTCAACTCTTTGCATCAGGTGGCCAAAATACTAGAGTTTCCGCTTCAACATCAGTCCTTCCAATGAATATTCAGGACTGATTTCCTTTAGGATGGACTGGTTGGATCTCCTTGCAGTCCAGGGGACTCTCAAGAGTCATCTCCAACACTACAGTTCAAAAGCATCAGTTCTTCGGTACTCAGCTTTCCTGATGGTCCAACTCTCACATCCATCCATAACTGGAAAAACCATAGCTTTGACTGCAGGGACCTTTGTTGACAAAATAATGTCTCAACTTTTTTAATAGGCTGTCTAGGTTGGTCATAGCTTTTCTTCCAAGGAGCAAGTGTCTTTTAATTTCATGGCTGCAGTCACCATCTACAGTGATTCTGGAACCCAAGAAAATAGTCTGTCACTGTTTCTATTGTTTCCCCATCTATTTGCCATGAAGTGATGGGACCAGATGCCATGATCTTCGTTTTTGGAATTTTGAGTTTTAAGCCAGCTTTTTCACTCTCCTCTTCCACTTTCATCAAGTCTCTTTGTTCCCCTTCACTTTCTGCCATAAGGGTGATGTCATCTGCATATCTGAGGTTATTGCTATTTCTCCCGGCAATCTTGATTACAGCTTATGATTCTTCCAGCCCAGTGTTTCTCATGATGTACTCTGCATATAAGTTAAATAAGCACGGTGACAATATACAGCCTTGACGTACTCCTCTCCCAATTTTGAACCAGTCCGTTGTTCCATGTCTGGTTCTAACTGGTGCTTCTAGACATGCATACAGGTTTCACAGGAGGCAGGTAAGGTGGTCTGGTATTCCCATCTCTTCAAGAATTTTTCACAGTTTGTTGTGATCCACACAGTCAAAGGCTTTAGCATAGTCAACAAAGCAGAAGTAGATGTTTTTCTGGAATTCTCTTGCTTTTTCTATGAACAAACAGATGTTGGCAATTTGATCTTTGGTTCCTCTGCCTTTTCTAAATCCAGCTTGAACATCTGGAAGTTCATGGTTCATGTACTCTGAACCCTAGCTTGGAGAATTTTGAGCATTACTTTACTAGCGTGTGAGATGAGTGCAACTGTGCTATAGTTTGAATATTCTTTGGCAATCCTTTCTTTGGCACTGGAATGAAAACTGACCTTTTTCCAGTCCTGTGGCCACCGCTGAGTTCTCCAAATTTTCTGATTATTTCAAAATATTTGAACAAATGCAAAAGTCTGTTATCTGATTCTCATGTATAGGTGAAAGTTCTCATAGATCTGAGACCAAAACTATACATATTATTATATTAACCTCCCCCTGACTCTAGCCAATCACCAGAACCACTTTAGCTTTATCAAAAGGTACCCTTAGACTTCACTGGTAGTGCAGTGGATAAGAATCTGCCTGCCAGTGCAGGGGACACAGGTTCAATCCCTGATATAGGAAGATTCTACATGCCATAGAGCAGCTAAGTCTGTGCACAGCTATTGAGCCTGTGTGCTACCATTACTGAAGACCACATGTCTACAGTATGTATTCCACAACAAGAGAAGCCACCACAATGAGAAGCCCACGCACCAAAACAAAGAGTAGCCCTCACCCACTGCAACTAGAGAAAGCCCCCACAAAAAGCAACAGAGACCCAGTGCAGCCAATAAGTAAATAATTTTTAAAAATTACAAATAAAAAAGCATAGGTATTCTGGGCTCCATTCCAGGAGTATGACTTTTTAAGTCTGGAGCAAACCAATGAATGATGGATTGGCACATTATATAGTGTTAATTTAACCTTCTTTGTTTCACTTGTGTAAGTTTTATCACCACTAATACATAAATATCACATATTCTTCTATTTACTACAGTACCTAGTAGACATAAAGCAGACATTAACAACTGCAGAGCACATACATCTAACTGAAATGAAACTGGTTATATAAAAATTCAAATATTTAGGAGAACATTTTTGTCAAAAGTCTGCTTCTTTACACATTCAGAAATCCAGAAATGCAAAGGCTTTTTGTTCTCCTGTTGCTAAATGCATTTTACCTGATAATGTTCTCAATGAATGGCTACTACAGTTTACAGCTCCAGAAACACTGACTGCTACGACTCTCCTTTCCTCTCAAATTTAGATTTAAGTGGAAAGCCCTGGTATATTAAAGTCCTGTCCTACTCCTAACATGCAAACTCAGGTTCCCTACTGGTATCACCTCTTGTGTTACTGAGAAGTGACAGCTTCAAGTTATCACCACAGATAGTACTAATCCAAAAGAAAGCAAGCCTTGTACCTCTGTGCCTCTTGCTTTTCTTTTTTCTGGAGATAGTTCTCTCATGGATGCTTTCCTCCTGGGCATCAGTCTCACCACTGCTGTCGATGATGTCACAGGGCTCACCAGCCCCAGAAAGAGCTTCCACTGCAGGAACCTGGGAGGCTTCCAAGCCACAAAGAGATTTTACTAGAAAAAAATAAGAGAATGAGACAGCAGAGCCTAAGCCTATGGCTTAGGTAGGGTATCAGCATACATGAGGAAAAGAAAACAGAAAAACAAAAAAAGCAAAAGCAGTGTGAGAGTCTGCTAAAGAAAGCTGAGAATGTTAAAAAAATAAAATAGCATTTTAAATACAAAAAATTGGAAAGCAATGGGCAAATTGACTCTAAAATTGCAGAAACACATCAGACCTGAAATAAGGGAGTGAATTATTCTCCACTATAAACCCCGCAGGATAAAAGCAAAAAGTGAATGTATTTCCATTTGCATAATTTCTGAGGAGAATGTTGAGAGGAATTAAATCTACTTTAACCTTATTCCTGGGCGAAAGACAGTACTTATTATAAAAACACAAGTTTCAAGACCTCTGAGTAAGAAGCTTGAAAGTAAGAGAAGCATGAAAAAAGGAAAAAAAAAAAAATGCTTCAAGGTTATTACACAAGCCAAATAGCAGTTAAGTGAAGAACATATGTAAACAACAGGAAGAAGATTAATAACCAGGAAGAAAGCAGTGGAAATCACAGAAGAGTACTCCACGACTTATTTTTTAATAGAAAGACAAAATATTTATGCTACAGAAACTTCTACTGCTCTTGGCTAATCTTTCCCCTCCTCTGAATATGTAAGTAACAACGGAGGACAGCAAACACGTTTACAGTAATATCCCCAAAGGACTGTAACAAAAGCACTGAGGCAGAACCACAGGAAAATAAAAATCCTAGTTCTCTTTTCACTGCCTGAGTCTGAAAAGACTCATTGGAAGCCTACCTTCCTGCTGAACAGCATTGGCGACAGCTTTCTTGACCCTTCCGGACCTCACGACGGCTGGATCCGAGTTTGCATAATCCGCCACGGTCACTGAAACACAGTACCAACCCTCAAAGAAGGAGTCCCTCCTCAGCTTCCTCCCCACCAAGTCCCCAGACGGCCCCAGCCGCCCTCCCATCGCAGATAAGCGAGCACTCGCCACGGTACCTTCCAGCCCTGCTTCCAGCCCCAAGTCTTTGAACGCCCCTGCCCCTCGCCCACCTCTTCCTGAGCAGGCGTCTTGGGCCCGGAACTTGAGTCGCTTCCCTCTCTTGGGCATGACGACCGTTTCGGGGCGAGGCCGAGTTAGAGGGCCAGGACCCCGGGCCATGTTTCAGGGCAGACAGCGGGATCTGTGAGCCTAGGGCCAACTACGGCCGGCTCCGCTGCCATCCCGCTCCAGAGACCGCAGCTCCCGCGAGGACTTAGGCCCCGGCTCCGCATCGCATTGGCCGCCAACTCTCCTCTTCAGAAACCAATCAGGCTCTGGTTTAGGGAGTACGTCATCATCCGGCGTCTGCAGATCACCCTGCGTCTGCGTTCGTAAGTGGTGGAAGGGTGTGTTTATGGGCCGTGTGGGTTTTATCATACGTCTTATAATTTTGTGTCTCGGACCGAAACCCACAACCCTGTTGATAAGAACTGAATTTACCTTCTGGTCTCCCTGATTTTTCTTCTATTGTCTCTGTTCACACTCCAGATTCCCTTTAGTACACCCAAAGCGCGTTTATTGTCATTCTCGTGCTCATCTCTCAGGCCACAAAGGCGTAGTCTAACATGGGTAAGAGTCTTCACTCTAATTTCTTATACGAAAGCTATACATTTCTGAATTCTGAAATTTGGGGAAAGAGTTCTTAAAAGTTTATTGATTTACACCATCCTCCAAGATAAATACTAGTAGGATTGATGAGGAAAGAATGGTGTCTCCTTTGTTTTGAGTGAGAAAAACTTCACGGAGCTAAGGTTATAGAACTGTGACGGAGCAGGATCCTGGTCTAATATCACCGGTAGGAGTAAGTTATGGTGGGTTCTAAATGATTGGTTCTTTGTCCTTCTGACTTCTTTGCAGCTACCAAAAGGTGCTAATCCCTGTCTTGAGAAGCATGGTACTTAGGGACCAGGAACCCAACCAGGACCCACCAGACAGTGCCATCCTAACATATTTAGGATCAGACTTACGTTTTTAATCTAATTAAACATAAACATAGACATTCGTTAGGCACAAACCACTGGCCTTTTACTAACATTGTGTAACACTAGGGATTGTGCTAATAAGGTTGAATGAATTAGGAATTGTAATAGAAATTAAATATAATTGACTGTAGTCATGAAATAGTCAAGTTTAATTTATCTAAAGTAATAACATGAACAAGGGTCTAACAGACTGAACTAAAAGGAAATTATTTTATTTTAAAAATAATTTTCCATGTAATTGATATTTGTAGTCAAAATGCAGCTGGTAAATCTCCAAACCTTCTCATTTCACAACAATAATAAATTTGCAGGGGATGTTGATTTGGATCCCTGGTCAGGGACCTGGGATGCCACATACCAAAAAAAAAAAGAAGCAATATTATAACAAATTCAATAAAGACTAAAAAAAAGAATATGATGATCTTAAGCAAAGCTCTTCTTGAGTTCTTTAGCCACATTAGTGGAACAGAACACATGTAGATCTTTTATTTCACCTTCTACTAAAAAGCAGCAATTTTAAATTAATGACGCTGTTAGAGTCCAGATTTGAAGAGACACATTTTTTTTTTTTCTAGAAAGATAAGTTGTAAAAGTTACAAAAAGAGCTGTTATTTTTTTCAAGTTCCAAAAATTTTTACTGAGTTTTTTAAATTAAAATTTCCTTCAACTTATAGACTTAATTTGGGGATAAATTGATATCTATATACTATTGAGTCTTTCCACTGAGAATTTGGAAATGCATCTCCATTTAATAAAATCTTCTAAGTCCCTTAATTATTTTAACTCAAGCATTGTTATTCTTGTCAGCTTTTCTTTATGTTTTGTTGAAATTTAGTTAATTTACAATATTCTATTAGTTACAGGTGTACAACATAGCAAGTCAATATTTTTATATGTTATAATCCATTTACAAAGTAATGGCTGTGTTTCCCTGTGCCATACAATATATCCTTGTTGCTTCTTTATTTTATGTATAAGTACTTTGTATCTCTTAATCTTATACCTCTATCTTGCTCCTCCTCCTTCCTTCTCCCCACTGTTTTGTTCTCTATATCTGTGAGTCTGTTTGTTTTGTTACTACATTTATTTGTTTTAGTTTTTAGATTCCATATATGAGTGATAATATACTTATTTCAGTGGGCATAAAACTCCCTTGGTCCATCCACATTACTGAAAACTGCAGAATTTCTTTTCTTTATGGTCAAGTACTATTCTATTGTGTGTGTATGCACATATATACATATTAATTTATATATGGACTTTTTGATGGTGTGAGGTGATATCTCATGGTTTTCATTTATGTTTCTCTGATGATTAGCAATGTTGACAACTGTTAAGTGATATTTCATGATTTTCATTTGTATTTCTCTGATAATTAGTAGTGCTGAGCATTTTTCATGTGCTTGTTGGCCATCTGTATTTTTTCTTTGGGAAAGTGTCTAGTCAGGTCTTCTGCTCACTTTTAAATTGGGCTGTTTGTTTTTTTGATATTAAGTTGTATGAGATGTTTATATTTTTGGATGTTAATCCTTTATTAGTTATAAATAAAGGCTGTCTTTTTGTTTGGTCAGTGATTTCCTGTGCTGTGCAAAAGCTTTTAAGTTTAATTAGGTCCCATTTGTTTATTTTTGCTTTTATTTCTTTTGACTTAGAAGAGAGATCCAAAAAATACTGCTGCAATTTATGTCAAAGAGTATTCTACCTATGTTCTCTTGTAGGAGCTTTATGGTTTCTAGTCTTATATTTATTTATTTATTTATTTTTCTAGTCTTACATTTAAGTCTTTAATCCATTTTGAGTTTATTTTTGTATGTGGTGTGATGAAATATTCTAATTCCATTGTTTTACATGTAGCTGTCCAGTTCTCTGGCACTATTTACTGAAGAGTGCAAATATTCTAGCTTTTTTCCATTGTATATTCCTGCCTCCTTTGTTGTAGATTAATTGACCATAAGTGTGCAAATTTATTTTTGGAATAATATTTATTTATTCTGTTCCATTATGGGTTTGTTTTTATGCCACTACTGTGCTGTTTTTATTACTATAGCGTTGTATTATGATCTGAATTGGGGAGTGTGATACCTCCACATTTGTTCTTGTTTTCTCAGTATTGCTTTTGTCCTTTGGAATCTTTTGCAATTTCAATAAATTTTATGATTATTTGTTCTAGTTCTGTGAAACATGGATATTTTGATAGGGGTTTCATTAAATCTCTAGATTGCTTTGAGTTGTATGGGCATTTTAACAATATTACTTCTTCCAATCCAAGAACACAGGATATCTTTCTATTTCTTTCTATAATTTTCAAATTCCTTCATCAGTAATTTATAGTTTCAGGTATTTCATTCCTTGGTTAAATTTATTTCAAGGTATCTTATTCTTTTAGGAAACAGTGACAGATTTTATTTTCTTGGGCTCCAAAATCACTGTGGATGGTGACTGTAGCCATGAAATTAAAAGATGCTCCTTGGAAGGAAAGCTATGACAAACCTAGGCAGTATATTAAAAAGCAGAGACATCACTTTGCCCACAAAGGTCTGTATAGTGAAAGCTTTGGTTTTTCCAGTAGTCATGAAGAGATGTGAGAGTTGGACCACAAAGAAGGCTGAGCACCAAAGAAGTCATGCTTTTGAATTGTGGTAGTGGACAAGACAAGAGTCCCTTGGACTGCAAGGATATCAAACCAGTCAATCCTAAAGACAGTCAACCCTGAGCATTCATTGGAAAGACTGTTGCTGAAGCTGAAGCTCCATTACTTTGGTGACCTAATTGAAGAGCAGACTCATTGGAAAAGACTCTGATACTGGGAAAGATTGAGTGCAAGAGGAGAAGGGGGTGGCAGAGGATGAGATGGATGGATAGCATCACTGACTCAATGGACATGAGTTTGAGGAAACTCTGGGAGATAGTGAAGGACAGGGAAGCCTGGTGTGCTGCAGTCCAAAGGGTCACAAAGAGTCAGACACAACATTATGACTGAAGAACAAAAATATCTTATACTTTTAAAAATTTATTATTTTGTAATTGAAGGATAATTGCTTTACAGAATTTTGTTGTTTTCTGTCAAACATCAACATAAATCAGCCATAGATATACATATGTCCCCTCCCTCTTGAGCCTCCCTCCTATCTCCCTCCCCATCCCACTCTGCCAGGTTGATACAGAGCCCCTGTTTGAGTTCTCTGAGTCATCGGTTCACTGAGTCATCAAATCCCCATTGACTGTCTATTTTACTTATGGTAATGTAAGTTTCCATGTTGCTCTCGCCATATGTCTCAGCCTCTCCTCCCCTCTCCCCATGTCCATAAGTCTGTTTTCTAGTCTGTTTCTCCATTGCTACCCTGCAAATAAATCCATTGGTATCATCTTTCTAGATTCCATATAGTTACATTAGTATACTATATTTATCTTTCTGACTTACTTTACTCTGTGTAATAGGCTCTAGGTTCATCCATCTCATTAGAACTGACTCAGATGCATTTCTTTTTTTTTTTTTTTTGCATTTCTTTTTATAGCTGAATAATATTACATTGTGTATATGTATCACAGCTTCTTTATCCATTCACCTGCCAGTGTACATCTAGGTTGCTTCCTATTGTAAATAGTGCCTTAATAAACCTTGTGGTACATATGTATTTTTCAATTTTGGTTTCCTCAGGGTATATGCCTAGGAGTGGGATTGCTGGGTCATAAGGTGGTTTTATTCCCAGTTTTTTAAGGACTCTCCATGCCATCTTCCATAGTGGCTGTATCAATTTACATTCCCACTAGAAATGCAGGAGGGTTCCCTTTTCTCCATAGCCTCTCCTGCATTTATTGTTTGTAGATTTTTTGATGATGGTCTTTCTAACTGGTGTGAGTTGGTATCTCATTGTAGTTTTGATTTTTGCATTTCTCTAATAACGAGTGATGTTGAGCCTCTTTTCATGTGTTTGTTAGCCATCTGTATGTCTTCTTTGGAGGAACATCTGTTTGGTCTTTTCCCCACTTTTTTATTGGGTTGTTCATTTCTCTCATATTGACTTGTATGAGACGCTTATTTATTTTGAAAATTAATCATTTGTTAGTTGTTTCATTTGCTGCTAATTTCTCCCATTCTGAGGGTTGTCTTTTCACCTTGTTTGTAATTGTTTCCTT